AAGTTGCTTCAATTTATTTTTACATACATTCACATAACTAAATAAAATTACTAAATATAATACAGCTGTGAGCTACAGTATGAATGCATCTTTAAATAATCTCTCCAGATGGATGACAGGAAGAAATTAACAATTTATTATAAACAGTAATGATATACAGAAAAATAAATAGCTGTAAATAGCTCAGAGAGATAATAGGCAAATCCGTCTCACAGCACAAAAACAGAAATTCCCAATATCAAATATTGAATACCAATAAAACACAATTCACCTAACTCTCTTTGAACTACAAATCCTCAGAGGTAATTAACAACTGACGCTTCCTGGCTCTAGGAGATTTATATAGTATTACACAGACTTTTGAAAGCTTCAGGAAAAAAATCAGCTCTTGGGCTTCAAAACTGTTTTTACCTAAAACTTGCCAAGTTGGAAAAAAATATCCACGTAATGCCAACTTAGTGAAAATTTTTGCCTGTTCCTACCCATTAGGAGTAGTTGCCGACCCATTCTAATTTGGATTCAGAATCAAAGTCAGAAGAACTACAGTTTTATTCAATAAATCAGTGCTTGCACAAGCCCATGAAAAAACACTAAAAGCCTGTTATTTTAAATGTAAATGCAAAAATTAAACAAATAAACAAAACAATATAAAAATACACAAAAACAATTACGCAAACAAAAGGATAGAAATTTACATCATCAGGTACGCATCTGACACAGAACTCATACATCTACTTTTTTCCATCCAGATTTGGTTTGATTATCTGAGTTTTTTTTTTTTTTTGATAATTTTTAATATGAAGTCAAAATTTATTTCTATTTCTTGTAAATAAATAAAATTTAATTCATTTAGTAGTTTATAACTTTTTAAATTATTTATTTTAGCAATATCGATAATAATTTGTAATATTTATAACAAATGTAAAAGGATTTCATGTTTTTGCAGAGTTCTACCGTATAATTTTCCTTCGTGTTACTAACATTTTATATGTGCAGACTGGATTATATCAGACTTTTCCACCACTACTTATCCATTGCCCTGCAAAATTCTGGACCACCAGGTCCGGTAAAAAAGTAATTCCGGATCACCAGGTCGTAATGGGCTGGTGCACCATCAGGCTGGAACCACCTGCGATCATAAGCAACAGCTGGAACATCTGGAAGCAATTCCAGTAAAACCACTTGCAGAAAAATATGATAACACAAGCCATTGAGACACGAAGGTAGGAGGTAAGGGCACATGTTGTACTTGTTAACAATACCCATCCACACATTCACAAAGAAGTGGATTTGGAACGCATGCAGATTACCTAAAGGCATAAAAACCTAAACTGGAACATAACAACAATATAATTCAATCACTTTTAAAGCAAAAAATGCAAAATTTACCAATATATAAGAATAAAAAAGACTGAGCTCACCTAGATGGATAACAGAGAGACTCTCTCTCTATATATATTTATATATGTTTGGTTTGACAGAGTTCAATGGAAAAGGGAAATGCACAACTACATATTACAGCAGCCTCGTATACAAAATTTCAACATTCTAGGCTACTCGTTTTTGAGTTATGCGAGATACATAATACATACACACATCACAGAAAAATCTCTTTTGAATCCATTTTAAATCCATGTACTTCTTTTATTTCGTACAGGGAAGCAAAAAGTATAAAATATATTCTGCAGAAAAATGATGAATGAAAAGATGCTTGCACAAATCTGATGAGGCCTTTTTCAGAAAGAATAATACTATTTCACTATTAAAAAGTATCACCAAGTACCATATAAATTTTCACAAACATGTTGAAACATATTACAGAATGTGCTAAGAATAAAGCTAAAGCATGTAAAAGTTAACAAAATGTTAAATTTTAATATTTTATTAAAATATATCAAAAATATCAAAAAATCAAAAATATCAAATAAATATATCAAAAAAGGAATAAAACAAAAAGGAAAACAATTTTATTAAAATTAATTAAATTTTTAAAATTAAGTTAAACAATACAAATTATAGGAGATAATGAAATACATATTACTTATTAATTTGATCAACTTTCCTATTAACAGGAAAAGTTTAGGGTTTAATTTGTGTATAGATGAAATTGTAAGTGCACATACTTTGTAAGCAAATGCTTGTTACTCACGTAGAATAGTAGATCTTTTAATTCTGAATTTAATAACATTTAAATTGCTAAAGAGGTCAACTAGAGCCCATAGTATAGGCAAAAATGTTCTTGACCAAGTTGGCAACTTTTAAAATACTAGCAGAATTTCTGGAAGTTTTTGGAAACTCCACATTCAAAGTTTCAGGAGCAATTTTTCCCAGAAGCTTGCAGAAGTCCATGTGACACTATATAGTCAAAAGTTGTTAATCCGGACTCGTCGGGACTTCGGCGATTCCGGATTATATATCATCAGTTTAAATCTCGTAAGATGGCATGCAGAATTCTAAAATTAAAAGTATGAAACCGTAATTTATGAAATAAAGAACAATTATGATCTAAAGGGTATCAAAATTTGCAAAAAGAAAAAGCTTAATATTTATTTGTTTACTTTATTAAACATTTTTTTCAATGTAAGTTGTTTAAGTTTTGCTTCGTTTCATGTGATAATACTTTCTCTTTAATTCTATTAAACAGACATAATTTCTTGTTCAGTTACAAAAATCCGCTGTTCAAGTCCTATAATTGCTGTGTCGAGAATACTGACTAATTTGTCAATCGAAATTTTTTCGTTTTCAATAACCTCTTCGCTATCGGAAGCGAATTATAATGACGAGGAACTTGTTTTAAATCATATCAAAGACGGAGCACATCAAGATGAAATACTACATTTGATAAGGAATTATAAGCCAAATAAAATAAAAACATCTGCCTTGAAGATAAGGATAGTGCTGGCAGATCAACTTCCAATTCATTACGCGCCTGCCGGGGCATCCCCCCCCCGCCGAGCAGCGCGTGAAATTGATAAACAGATTTCGGATTTCAAAACATACTTTCGCTTTAGATCCTTTACGTATTAATAAATATATATCGGAAATTCTATTTGATATAATCGAAAGTTTAAACTTACTTTTACAAAATTGCTCTTACAGTCTGCAAAAAATAATAAGCCGGATCCAATTCGAAAATTAAGGAACAACGCAATCATCAACATTAACCGAAATAGATAATTATTTAGCTTATACGTCCATTATACATAAAACGCGCACGCGAAAACGTATTCTGCACTTGCGCAAACTCATATGCGCAGTCATAAAAGGTCTTACGCGCACGTGTCAACGCGGCGCATGTGCAGAAAGTTTTTAGTTTTGAGGTCCGGATTATGGGTGTCCGAATTAATGACTTTTGACTGTATAAATATGGCTCTGAAAGTGAGGATCATCCTGTGCCTCAGATCTGAGGCACAGAAGTTCAAAAACAGTTTGCTGAAAGTTTACTCTGTGAGTGATATTGGTAATTTACGTTTCTTGTGTATTGAGGAGAATTTGTTTAATATCTGTGTTCTCAAGCAAGTTATAGCTATTTATTTTGTAGTGCATCATTATTAATTATGAAAATTATGAAAATTATTATTATAATTTCTTTGTGCTCATTTGGAGTGATTATTTAAAGAAACATCAACAGACCCATAGCTTGCAAGAATAAAAGCAATTAAAATATAAATTTCTCATTAAAATATTTTCTTGAATGCCCTTGAATTAAAATTAATTTTACAAAACATCTTTAAAACTTTATTGAATGCAAGCAAAAATTCTTTTATAATCAAATTTTTGATAGAAAACTATATTGCATACATAGAATTTATAGCCTTCTTTAGTGTTAAACATTTTCATATATTTATTTGTTACATAAACTATTATTAGAAGACTTGTTCAGTATATTAAAAATCCTGCTGTGCATATTTTTACATTCAAAGTTTGCTTTCCAGTAACTTAACGTTTTTAAAACTAGTAACAATTTGTCTTTTAGATAGCATCAAAATAACATAACCAATTATTATTATTATTATTATTTTATTATTATTTTACTTTTAGCTGATTTATCCCTGTCTCCTCTCTCACCAAATTAATGGAAAGTGAGAGTTTTTTAAATGATGGAAAAATGTAACTTAAAACTATACACGACACTGTAGAACAAATATAAAACAAACTATAAAATCAGTCTTTCAACACCATTTAAAATTACAGAAGAATATCAAACTATATGATAAGCAGCTTAAATTAGAAGGCTCCTGAAACTCTTCCAAAATAATTAAATAAAACTGTTCACTAAATGTTCTGAAATGCAGCAATTTGACAACCATTCATAAAGTGTCTCATCTTAAAATAAATAAATAAATAAATAAATAAATACAAAAGAGGGGGAAAATGAATGGACTGGAAGTGTAAAACTTTATTCTAAATCTGAATTTAGGCAAAGTTATTTTACATGTATAAATGGGTTTTCATCTTATTTAATGAGTGTATATTTGATTTCAGATAATCTTCAGCAATTAATTTAATCTTGGAAGAATATTTTAGCTACTACTGGAGGTATTTGTAGAAAATTTATGCAATGAGCATTTTTTTAATTGACTGTTTTAGAACTGGCTTCATAAATCTATCAAATAATAGCAATGAATATATATAAGCATAGCATAACTACCTTTAACTCATTTCATTTTTGATACATAAGGTGCTTATTACAATTTTACATATACAATAACTCAAACAAACATTTCTGATTATTTATGGAATAAGGGAAAAAATTCACAATTTTATTTCAAGACGTATTAATCAAATTAAAAATGTGTTTCATTCATTAAAAATGACATATCTGGAACATTTTCAGAAAATAAGATGAATATTTAAAACAATAAGAAAAATAAACTTGCATATATTAGTTACATAAATTTATACTTTTTAAATCTTCTAACTCTTTTGGAATGGTCCACCTAGATTCTTTTGTTTGGATGTTATGATAATAAGTACGTCCAGTCTCTGACTTATATTCTTTCCAAGGACACTGAGACAGTAAAAGCTAGAGTTAAGGAAATTAATCAGCTTTTAGTATGGCACAGAATGGTTAAAAATTGATAATTTTTTTACACGAAATAGATATTACAAATACAACAAATTTTAAAAGACTTTTTCAAGTGTACTTATACATGTAAGCATATAAAAAAAAGCTCCTTGTAAAAACTTAGCTCCGAAAGAAATTGACAAAAAAATTTGTCCTTATGCCTAATATGTCCACCAACCTTTGCTAACATTTCAGTAAAACTGGTTGCATTTTAAAATCTATTTTTCTAAATACCCTTAACAATAATCTGCATGTCAGAAAGTACAATTAAAGCAACTATTTATAATGCACTTGAATATGATAGTCTTTACAGTAGCTTCTAGATTATGAATCTTGAAAAACATAACATTAATGTAACATAAAGAGATTGAATTCAAAATATATTCAAAGAAAGTACAGATGGAAATATAACTCACATAAAAATATGATGTAGAAAGAGAACAAAAATAATGATTGCATTTTAGCAATCATTTTTGTCCAGGTAATATAATTAATATGCAGTGTACAGATTCATTATGTACCTACTTAATCATACTGCATAGAAGGGGTAGAGTAGACTTTAAGGTACCCCTTGTATTATGGCGAAGTTGTTGTTTGATTTATCGCCAAGTTGTTGTTTCATTTATGGTAGCCTGAGTTGTTGAATGTTATGGAAACCCCATTGTGACGTAATCAGGTGCATGATTCTAGGAAATTTTGAATCATGGGATGTTTTGTAAGCGGCTTTTGTGTGGTGTGGTTAAAAAGTACATGCTTGTTTGATTCTTTAGACGGTAGAATGGCCGAATGTAGTAAGATTAATTTGAAGTTTCTGTACGATTTGGAGCGAAAGGGGAAAAGAGCTTTAATTGACTGGTGTGTAAATGAAAGATTACTTAGTAGCCATTATAAGTGTCCTGTATGTAGGAAGGATATGCGTCTAGTCGAACGTAAAAACTGTTTAGAGGAAGAAAGGTTCAGATGGTCATTATGTGAAGCGTTCGATCAGAAAGAGTACCTGGTTTGAAAAAAGTCATTTGAGTATGATTGATATTTTGATTTTTATGTGGCTCTGGGTGTACGAAGCGAACTCAAAAATCATGGTAAGTGAATACTTGCTTTTGGTGGTGCTTAAATGTATAACATGTTTTTCCTTTTTTATGTTATTTTATTGTTTGCTTTAAAATTTATATTATTGAGATTATGTATTTTTTGTTTTCCTATATTGCTGAATTTGCTGCTCCTTTGACTTTTTGAGTGAAAATATATCGATGTGTACATGGACAAAGTAAAGGTAGTGTGCAATGCAAGTTTGTGCAATTCCGGGAATTTTGTTTTTTAAGTGAAAATAGGTCGACGTGTACATGGATAAATTAGTGCGCAATGCCATTTTTGTGCAATTTGGGGATTTTTTTTTAAGTGAAAATAGATCGGCGTGTACACGGATAAAGTCAAAAGAGTGTGCAATGCCATTTTTGCGCAATTCGGGGTTTTTTTAAAGTGAAAATAAGTCGATGTGTACATTGATACCGAGTTTGTGCAATTGTTTGTCTTGTTATTTTGGCTTTGTGTAGTGGCGATTTTTCATGCAAAAATTTTTTGGGGGCCGCTTCGCAAGAAAAAATAACGAGTCAAAGAATTGCACAAAATCGGTATCCATGTACCGCCAAAAATCGCCAAGTTTTGCCAAGGGGTAACCTAAACTATACTTTTACCCATAGAAGTCATACCTGACTATTCTAGAACAGCAGCTCTTATTGGCCATTTGTTAATTTGCTATATAGGCAACTGTTTAAAGTTTCTGCCTTAGAAAATAATGCTTGTATGCGCAATCTTTGCCATATCCAAAAATGGCAAAGACTTTAATTGTAATAAAGTGTAATTTGAATTACTTATTTTGATATTCTTAAAACTTTACATGAAAGTAATAACAATTAGCTGAGTTTAATAGTACTGATAAGAACTCCTTACAAAATATAAAAAGCTTCTAAGATCATGAAATATAGCGAGAGAGACAAAAATTTTAAATTATTTGCAGCATATATAAAGATGGCATTGCAATTAGTGATCATTAAAAGTGAACATTCTGTTACAATAAACAGAAAATTGACACAATGAATGAAATTATTTTACATTCACTTTTGTAACAGAAACCACTGATTAAAACTTTTTTTAACTAATTAAAACTCTCTCTCTCCCACTACCCCTTCAAATATCATTCCTACTAGTCTATAATTTTTACTTTTGAATAAATAAGAGAAGAAATACAAAGAAAAAACATGAAAAACTAAGAGGTCCTCGCAACCGAAATCAGGATTTTCTGAGAAGTTTCCATGCATGGCAGTACCATTTTAAAAGTTCGCGTTATACTGCAAAATTTAAGTTGTTAAATTATTTATGATATGACTTTGATGTAAAATATTTTAACATTTAATTAGATATTCTAAATTTTGTGTTCTTTAGCTAATTTCATTTGCCGACTTTCTTATGCTTTTATACTGGGGAAGGGGGATACTGGAAAGGGAAGTTTTATTTTATCGAAGTTCTTTTAAAGATAATGAAAATAAAATTAATAATTAATATATCTACTAATTGTGAGGGTGAATTTGATCATCTTAATATATACCGATATAGAAGAAAATCTACACAAACATTAACTTATTAAACATTAGTTAAATTTTCATAAAAAGTTCTGCAAATATCTGCAGTATATTAAGGTAATTCAGACTAAATAAAATTTAATAAGAAAAATTATGCTCAAATTAATGTTTAGGTATGTGAAATGGAATTTTTACAATTAGAGTTTCATTAATTCAATAAATTTCTTTTACTATTGTAAACCATTTTGTATGGCAAAGGCTAAAAATTAAAATTGGTCATCTACCGGGAAACCAGGAGATGTGACAACAAACTGGAAGTCTATTGGTTTCACCAAGAGGGTTGACAGCTATGGAAAAGACTAGAAACAGAATGAAGCTTTTTAACTGAAATTTCACAAGTTATTGTCGAGTAAAAATTCTATGAGAAAACAAGCAAATAAAAAAAAAAATATCATTTACCTCTGACTGTGATTTCAATTCGTCAGGCTTCTCCCAGCTTGACTGCTTCGTAATATGATTATAAAAATAAGTCCGCCCATCAGGAGCTTTGTGTTCCGTCCAATTACTTTTCTAAATTAATAAGGTAATATACTTTAAGTAAGCAGCACTGAAGGTTTATAAATATAAATGGTTTAGGTCCAGAACATAATTTAAATAAAATGAAAAAATACAACATCCCCTGACTTCTTTCTATCACTTACTATTTTTTATGTGAACTTATAGTTCACATAAAAACTTATAGTTCACAATTAATTTAAAATTCACATTTAAATTTAAATACTAGGTGCAAGAGAAATCTTATTAAGGAATCCATTCAGTTTTCTTTTAAACTTAATGGTAATTTCTGTAGATTATATTTTTAATTACACAGTCACCACCTAATTAACCAGGCTACAGATCAACATGGAAAATGGAAAAATTACTATACAAATTATCAGCATAAAATATCACTATCTATGTAGGAGTAAGTACTTGCATATATTCCATTGACCATGAAACTATCGCCAAGCAGGGCGATTCAGTTCCAATTGTGGATCAGCATGAAATAACAACACACCCATGCATATGTTTAATACAAGCCTGATAAGCTTTTTTTTTTTTTTTTTTTTTTTTTTTTTTTTTTTTTTTTTTTTTTATGAACAAGGATGTAAATAACTGCTATTGTTGTGTCTTTCCCTTGCACTAAAAATATATTTAAAATTTTTTTTGAACCTGCCTTGTGTGGTACATCAAGTATTAGATTATTTTCAAATTTATAAGATCTCCCCCGGGGAAAAAAAAAAAAAAAAAAAAAGTGTATATTGATCAACACAATACGGTCAGCTGCACACAGCTGATAAAACGGTAACAGACAGGAAAAATCAATAACCTGTGGGAAGTCTGTAGTTTGCACTAATAGTGTTCGAAACAGATCATCCTAAATCAAAAGACCTAACAAAATAGTAGAAATCAATGAAAATCTTTTTAAGAAGCACAAAAATCAAGTGGATCAATTATTGATCCAAAAACAGGTGTTTCAGTTCTTTCAGAATTCAAAAGAAACAAACAGCACACCATTAGTAGGACAGGGAAAATAATCTGAAATAACAGCAGTGATGGCAAAAGATATCAGAGTATCTGGGACTTTTCTAACTGACAACATGACATACTTTAATTTACATAATCTAAAATACATAGATTTTAAAATCCTTTTACTATAATACTTATTTTATAAATAAAGTGTACAGACGTTAATTTTCTTTTTGGCATTGACTCATACCATAATACAACAGTAATATAAATAAACAAAGCAAGGGGAAACTCTCTTTTGTTTAAAGAATCGATTTCATCAATGCACCTAAATGAACTTATCCTCCAGATAAAACTTAAAAATACAAATTATTTGCTAATATTTTTCTGCTAATTATAAAATGGATTATTTATCTTCCCAAAGTTTTTTAAATGCTCTCAGATTTATAGTGACTTTAAGTTAATTGAGGGCATTGTTTTTTGATATTACCTAGATAAATCAGGAGTTAACTGTGTATCATTTACAGAAAGCAATGAATGAATGCTAACTGAAATAAATACTATTCACTGAAATTCGGAGATGAATACATTGTACATACTGTGCAATTAAAAATATTTCCAAAGTTAAAATGTTATTTTTGTTTGTTTATTTGGGATGAGCTATTATTTGTATTAAAGCTGCTATATTAAGAAACTGCAAACATATAAAATCAAACTACACACTAAGGCACATTACAAGATCTGTTAGAATCATAAAAATACACCAAAACTGCACAAAAAACAAAGATTAAAGTTGTATCTTAGTCCCCCCCTCAACCCAAAGGAATATCTCATAATACTTCATTAGCAAGGCAGCCTAACATATAAATACAATGCATCGGTAAAATTAGAAATTAGACTCAGCTAAAATCAAGTTTCAGAAATAATTTTATAGAGCTCTATAACCTATATTATACAATAGTGCTTAGATTTAAAATGCAAATAATTTTATTACTATCAGTAGTCCAGTGAAAAATATTAAATGAACTAACTACACAAGAAATGCCAGTTGCAGAAAGTGATAACTGAATAACAGAGGTAAGCTGATGATGAAAAGAGAACTGACACTTTGATTAAAATCCACTAAATGGATGTATGGGATTTTAATAAAATAAAAAAAGTTATATAGATTAAAATAAACATAATTTAATACATTAATGCACAAAAATATTAAAATTTAATATGTAACAGCCAGCAAAATGAATTTTTTAATAATTGTATTTAGCAACTAAAAATATCCAAAGGTCATTCCAAAAATGACTTTTTACCCTTGTGTCTTATTGTAATTACCAGTATTTCTATTTAGTGTAGCTCTTACTGATAAAAGACAAGGACAGGCATTTGGGGGGGGACCAAACAAGTTACTGTTGTAGAAAAGGTATCAAAATAATGACAGTCAACTCTTAACTAATTCTTATAATTGAATTATTCAATAATGCTTCGAACTTTCATCAAAACCATGTAAATAAACAATTTTCACTTGAATTACAAAGACAAAGAAATTATTTGAATATAACTAACTACCTCTTGGCACTAACATTCTTAAAAGTATCCCCTCTCAAAAAATTAAAATTTTTGAGTAAAATGGCACAAAGAAATCTTACTTTTTCTGGTCCTTTAGAAGCAACAGGAACAGGTTCACTCTAAAATAAGAGAACATAGCGTCAACATAAAACAATCTAGAAACTTCTTTTATTTATAATAAGGTTATTCCATAATAAAGGTTTGATTATACTCGCATAAATGCATCAGAACTTTTATTTCTTGCATATCAGTTTGAATGATTTAAGCTTGTGTTTTGCCAGTTAAAAATTCAGAAAGAAGAATTCTTTTGTAAGGCCAATTATGACTTAAAATAATCTGAGCATTTATAAATTAAATTTCAATATAGGTTCTTAAAAATTAAATTTCAATGTAGGTTCTTCAATACGTAGAAAATAAATTATTCAGCACATGTGACTTCTGTTACTTACTGATGAACCAGCAAGTAACCAATGAGTCCTTAATAACCACCTTTGGATCATCCAACTGAGTGGCACAACTTTTTGGATCTGCTTATGAAGACTGCATTTAGACAACATTTATTAATTAAATTTGTTAAAATTGATTAGTTTATTTCTGTTTTTAGAAATTCTCTTCATTAAGATAATATTTAGATCATTAAAGTAAAAAGAGCAAAATATTTTAAATAAGAAGGTAATATATACAAAATAATAAAAATTTCATGACTTGGTAAAGACAGTCATACCTTTCAGGGGGCTAACAATGATACTTGTATAATTTTAAACCTGCATAATTTATAATACATATCTAATAGATATTTTTTATTAATATCGACGGCATTATTTAATTTATCCCTCCAAGTGTCATGGGTTTAGCACTGAAATTTCAGAGTTCCCCAAAATGTCACGAATAAATGGTATTTTCTTGAATATAATTAAAAACACGATTCTGTTACTTTCTATTTTGATTCCTTTTCTTCTCATATATATGCAACATGAAATCGAAAACATTAAAAGTTGCCAGAAATTTTCATGTGTAATGATTACGAAAGCCACCCTTCTATGCCAAATTTTATGTCCCTAACGCTAAGAGGGTTAATAAAAGATCCAACTTTTATTCACAAATGTGTCCACCACAGGCATGTTATCTGCAGTAGTACATTAATAATCTCAGGAATGGCAAATGAGGAAACCATCATTCCAAATAAAAGCTCAGTTTTTTTCACAAAAAATATATATCAAAGTGCTCATCTAGATATACATAACAATGAGAAATTCTGCTGCTAACATTTTATAAATATGCAGTGCAAAATTTTTTAAAACAAAATTCAGTGATATAATGCTATTTGGCAACTTTTCGAAACTGGAATTTTGAAAACTATTGCAAAGTAGCCAAGTTGATTCTTCAATGAGAATATAAATAAAGAGATAAAAGTGAAGCATAAATATTTTGGTTGCTAATTCACAATAACTTACAGTAAAAGATTAAACATGCATGATCACAATTCTGGAAATTATTACTGTAGTCTAGTTACTTATGTCTAATTTTCTAATAATTTTGGAGTGATACAAATAGTATACACTTTATGTAAGAGTAAATAAATGCTGAGTTTAGACTGAAAGTATAGCATAAGTGAAGAGCAGTGTAAAAAAATGATTAAAGTAGTTATTTTAATGCCAACTGCACTTAGAAAATTGATTTTAATTGCAAGGTTCACAACTGTGAATATTTGCTGATAGTTTACAAAACACAATATTAATAAGATTTTCAAACTGACCCACGTGCACCTTTACATATCAGCATGCATACCAGGAGTACCTCCTAGTATGCTCTGTAAACATGAAAGTTATTGCACAGTTTTTATTTTAGTAACAGGTGGCTGTAGGCATACATTTAAGCAATTTAAAAAAAAAAAAAAAAAAAATTGTAAAAATTACAAAAATCTAACTTTTTATCTATTCCTTTGATACCTATCCAATGGAAGCAAAAAGGTTAACACAAATCCTGAACTTTCAGAACTTTTTTTTTTAAATTAGTACATTCTAATTACTGTATTTGACAGCATATAAGACACACTTTTCTTCCTAAATTTGGTATCAAAAAAGTTACCTGCGTCTTATACGTGAAGGACACAGGTTAACTTTCAATACTGAATGTATTTTTAGCACGGATAAAGGTCTAGACACACATAACTTTTTCCACATCTGCCATAATTATTTTGTGCATGCGTGAAATATTTGTCGCCAAAAAGCGCCAAAGCTCGAAGCTGATATCAAAGTTCGAACAGGTTCGACGATCACATTACGTCTATGGAGCCTTTCTTTCTTTACATAGACTTTCTTTGACTCAGCCGACACACGTATCGGTGCTTACTCTGTATAAACGTGTCGGTATCGGTGCTTAAAACTATTTGTTTAAAAAAAAAAAATCTCTGGAAAATATGACTACAGGAAACAAGAGATTAAGCTATATAATTCAGTATAAACTAGGAGTGTTAAACTACACCAAAGTGCATGGAAACAGAGCAGCAGCAAGGCATTTCGGTCCACCACCTACTGAAAAAATGATACGTACTTGGCGACTGCAGGAAGATCAACTGAAGACTGCTAAAAAAAAAAAAAACATAACCTTCGATGCCCAGCTCCATCTTGGCCTGAGCTTGAAAATCCATAAAAATGTGGGTGATAAATAAGAAGAAATCTGGGATAAGTGTTTCAACCAAAATGATAATCAATGAGGCCAAAGGATTTGCAGAAAAACATGGGAATCAGAACTTCCAGGCTCATTCAGGGTCTGAGGGCTGGTGCTACAGGTTCATGAAAAGGCAAGGCTTATCAATGCACACAAAAACAACTATTGCACAGAAAATGCCAGCAGATTATGAAGAAAAAATACTAGCATTTCATAGGTTTGCTATAAATGCACGCAAGAAAACTTCTTTTGAGCTCGGTCAAATAGGAAATATGGATGAAATTCCACTCACATTTGATGTACCATCCAACAAGACTGTGAGTTTTAAAGGGTCTAAATCAATAACCATAAAAACCACAGGTCATGAAAAAACCCGATATACGATAGTTCTAACATGTTGTGCTGATGGCACAAAACTACCGCCGTTTTTCATATTCAAAAGAAAAACTCATCCAAAAGAAAAACATCCAACGGGTGTTATTGTTCATGTCCATCCGAAAGGTTGTCTGGACGAAGCTGGAATGAAACTGTGGTTAGAGAAGGTATGGGCGAGGCGACCTGGTGGACAAGAAAATGCTCTCTTTTGGTTTTGGATCAGTTTAGCGCCCATAGAACTGAAACCATAAAGAATAAAGTGAGAGAATTAAAAACCCAGATAGCTGTCATTCCTGGTGGACTGACTAGCCAATTGCAGCCTTTAGATGTATCAGTGAATAAGCCATTTAAGGAAAAAGTGCAAGAAAGATGGAACAAGTGGATAGGAGAGCCACATCACGCCCTCTCACACCCTCAGGTAGAATGAAGCGGCCCTCTATTTCACAAATGCGCGAGTGAGTAAAAAGATCTTGGGAGGACGTAAAGGCTGAAGTAATTGTTAAGTCCTTTAAAACGTGCAGAATCAGTAATGCTCTTGACGGAGCAGAAGACGGCGCATTATTCGAAGAAGGTGATACTAGCGATGATGGAAACAGTAGTGATGACGATATTCTCGTTTTCGATGATGATGATAGTGAAAAGGACTTTTATGGTTTTGAAAGTGATTAAAGTCTAATTTCATGATAGGCAATGTTTTCCTTGAATTTGTGTTTTTCGTTGTTTCTGCTTTATTTTGTATTATGTTTGATTACTTGCCGTTCATTCATTTATTCATTATTGAAATTTACATATCATGTTCAAAATAGCTTGCCGTTTGTTAATTTTCCTTAATAAAAATATGTTTGGTAATTGCATTTAATGATTGTTTATTTGGCTTTTACGAAACGTGATAACTAAAAGAAACCACATTTGAAGTTATTGTGGACTATTGAAACTTTCTTTCCTTGTGTGTGGCCTTCTAAATAAGGGTGCGTATTATATGCCGTCAAATACGGTAGTGACATACTCACAAAAAGTCACTAATTCATTGGTGATTTTGTGGAATGGGAAAAACTTTTGTATGGCTATCTTTACAGCTCATAGCTATTGTTTTGGTCACAAATTATGCATATTAAAGAAAATCTGAAGGCTTTCAGATTTTATAATGTTTTGTGAGTTACCTTTCGAATTGAATAGTCCTTCTGGGCAAATTGCCTGTTTGGACTAAAAAGAAGAAGGAAAGAGAACAGGCTATCCATTTGATTCTTTGAGTTTTTCAAAAATGCATATACAGTCAAAAGTCATTAATCCGGACTCGTCGGGACTTCGACGATTCCGGATTATCGATTTTTCCGGATTATAGATCATCAGTTTAAATCTTGTAAGATGGCACGCAGAAATTATAAAATTAAAAATATGAAACCGTAATTTATGAAATAAAGAACAATTATGATCTAAAGGGTATCAAAATTTGCAAAAAGAAAAAGCTTAATATTTATTTGTTTACTTTATTAAACATTTCTTTCAATGTAAGTTGTTTAAGTTTTGCTTCGTTTCATGTGATAATACTTTCTCTTTAATTCTATTAAACTGACATAATTTCTTGTTCAGTTACAAAGTTCCGCCGTTCAAGTCCTATAATTGCTGTGTCAAGAATACCGACTAATTTGTCAATCGAAATTTTTTTGTTTTCAATAACCTCTGTCACTTTTCTTCGCTATCGGAAGTGAATTATAATGACGAGGAACTTGTTTTAAAACATATCAAAGACGAAGCATATCGAGATGAAATACTACATTTGGTAAGGAATTATAAGCCAAATAAAATAAAAACATCTGCGCTGAAGATAAGGATAGTGCTGACAAATCAACTTCCAATTCATTACGCGCCCGCCGCCGAGCAGCGTGAAATTGATAAACAGATTTCGGATTTTCAAAACATACTTTCGCTTTAGATCCTTTACATATTAACAAATATATATCGGAAATTCTATTTGATATAATCGAAAGTTTAAGCTTACTTTTATAAAATTGCTCTTACAGTCTGCAAAAAATAATAAGCCGGATGCAATTCGAAAATTAAGGAACAACGCAATCATCAACATTAACTGAAATAGATAATTATTTAGCTTATACGTCCATTATACATAAAATGCACGTGCGAAAACGTATTCTGCACTTGCGCACACTCATATGCGCAGTCGTAAAAGGTCTTACGCGCACGCGTGAACACCTCTGCGCATGTGTCAACGCGGTGCATGCGCAGAAAGTTTTTAGTTTTGATGTCCGGATTATAGATCATTCCGAATTATGGGTGTCCGAATTAACGACTTTTGACTGTACTGCAGGAAAAAAGTTACCTGCACAGTTTCCTTAGGAATGCCATTAATTAATGGAGATGAAGGTGCTGTGACAACAGGTACATTTGTAGGTGGAGCAGAGATTACAGCAGGAGTTGGAATAGTAGTACCTGTAAAAATACAAGACAGTCCAGTTAAAAAAAATCCTTATAATTTTCAGAATTTTGCTTTTATATCATAGTTCTTCAGTTTAAATTTTCTGACTTTTTTTTTATAATCTTATTGGGGAGGGGGAAACCCCCTCTTTTACCAAAAATTTTTGTATACAGTACATTATGCATACAGTACAAGTCTTTAATCCGGACCTCAAAGCTACAAACTTTCTGCGCATGCATAAACGCATAATGTGTTTACGCATGCGCATAATACGTTTACGCATGCGTGTTTAATGTAAAATGGACGGTATAAGCTAGGCTAAAATTATCTAATTATCTATTTCAGTTAATGTTGCAGATTGTGTTGTTCCTTAATCTTCTAATTGGATCCGGCTTATTATTTTTGGCTGTTAGAGCAATTTCATAAAAAGTAAGCTTAAACTTTTCGATTACGTCAAAAAGAGTTTCCGATTCTGGAGCTGCCAAAGGATCTACAAAGCAAAAGCATGTTTCGATGTCCATCAAACAAAAAGTGGAGTTACTGCAAAAAATGCATAAAGGCATATCCTTTGTTTCTATAACAATTCCGAAATCTGTTTATCAATTTCACGCTCATCTTCAGGGCAGATGTTTTTATTTTATTTGGCTTATAATTCCTTACTAAATGTAGTATTTCATCTCGATATATTCCATCTTTGATATGATTTAAATCAAATTCCTTGTCATTATAAATATCACGAATACACATCAAATAGTTTTCTGGTTGCAATTTTCTAATTTCGACTATGCGTAATGTATGCTTTAAGCATGCGCACGTTGAAAGACATGTTTAATAAAGTAAACAAGTAAATATTAAGCTTTTTTTTTTTTTCGTAAATTTTGATACCCTTTAGATTATAATTGCTCTTTATTTCATAAATTACGGTTTCATATTTTTAATTTTATAATTTCTTCATGCCATCTTACCAGATTTAAATTGATGATCTATAATCCGGAAAAACCCCTAATCCGGAATCGCCGAAGTCCCGACGAGTCCAGATTAAAGACTTTGTACTGTATTTCAACTCTAAAATACATTTATATTTGAATATAAATATTTGAAATATGTAATAAAATATGCAATTTTGGAACCTATTTTGATAAAGAAATTATGCAGCAAGAAGGTTAAAGCATTACTTTATAGAACTTTTAATTATAATTCTATTCATGATAGACTTGTGTGAATAACTTAACCAGAACTAGAGACACAGCAAGAAACTTCCTACCTGATCTTGATGGCAATTTTTATCATGTCCTAATCCTAAAATCGATTTTCTCAGAAGGTTATAGAACTGCTTTCTCTTACTCTTGTGCAATAGTATATTTATACTATTGCAATAGTATATTTATACTATTATAAAGCTATGAGGTAGTTGTAAGCAAACTGAATTAAGACTTGGTTTGTCAATGATAGTTGCATTACTGAGTTAACTACTTGCTGATTACTGGTTCAGATTATTTATTCTCTGAATCAATTTTGTTGATCTGTAATATTTCTCAGGTGTTAAAAATTTGGCTTATACCTGAGTATTTTCCTCAGGTTATTTTTAGCTGTTTATTTTGCTTGTAAAAAATTTTATTCATCTCAAGATGGAATAGAGTTTCAAATCTTTCTATTCCGGACCATTTATTTTTAGATTTCTATGAATATATAGCATGCAGCAACTGGTATCAGAAATGCGATAACTTTGAATGCTTATTAGAAAGATGAAAGTGTGCTGGCAAGAGTCATTGTGGATATGACCATTGGCCAGCTGGATAGAAGCAGCAGCTAATGCCAATGAAATTATGAAGAAAATATTGCATTGACTTTCTGCCCAAGGACTAACTGTTTATTGAATGACATCCTGACTTAATCATGTCCTTTCCCTTTAATAAGAAGCTGCAGACATAAATACTTCTGGCCCCATAAAAAAAGAGACGTCAAAACCTTAGAGAATGCTTTAGAGCTTCAATATGGCGACACAGTTTTCATTAATTTATGCTTTTTACTGTCACCTTAAGACGCAGTAATATAAAGGAGGGATATATCAAGAACTCACAACAGATGAAGAAAAATTAAGCAGCCAGCATTTCAAAATTTCACCCCCTGAATCAGAAAGATCAGAATACCTCATAGGATAGAAAATAAAAGTCATGATAAAGTCGTCAGTGTGACTGACTGTGCACTGATTATGCCTTATATTGGTTACTCAGTTTTAAATATCTAGAAGGTCAAGTAACCAAATGGATAAAGTGACTAGAAGAATATAACATGGAAATTCTACAACACAAAAGATCTTCATCTGTAAATGCCGATGCACTGTCAAGAAAATTCCATGCACAGAAGTGCAAACACTGCTTGGAAGCTAAGGAAAATTATGGGTTAGAAATCATACTTGCTAGACAAGTTAATGTACATCCTATAACTAATCCCTGGAGCAATGATGACTTGAGAAAGCTTAAATGAAACAGTACGACAAATGTGACACGAAAATTTTTCTTAGAGAAACTCATCTTACTTTAGTCCCTAGTGTTTTGTCAAACCTTCATAGCAGGAATTATTTGGTAGTATATAGACACTCTATAAAGTTTATGAATGCTTCTGCTGTAACAATACTTAAGTAGATGTGGAAAAATTATAAAAACGTTTTTATCTACTTCCTATATTTTTCATGCTGCTTGCACATATGTGCAAACACTATGAAAAAACACACATGCACATTAGGCAGTTTTCTTATGCTTAACATTTTTTTTTAAAACTTTACAACATAATAACAGCTTTAAAAAAATGTAATTTTTATAATTAATACAGTAACTGGTACAAATAAATTTTACATTTAACCCGCGAGCGCGTGCACTGGGTCCATCAGACCCAGTGCACGATTAAACAAACTTCTCAAAGCAACCCCTTATTTCATACAAGTTGTTGAGGTCGTGTGTAGTCATGCCTGAGGTCGATCTCTTTATGTTTCCGAATGTTTTTTGCTGGGGCTTTGATTAGGAGGCTTGATTTTGATAGGATCAGGTCTTTCAGATTTAGCATACATATTCATATTACTACATAGCTAATCTGTGATAGTATTGAAAGTGGCAAACATGTCACTAATTTATCTAACAAAGAAGAAATGCTGTAAAAGTTATTAGATGTACACTGCTCAAAAAAAAAAAAAAAAAAATGGACAGTCCTATATCTCCCGATCTACTGGGCCGATTGACAAAATTCAAATGCGTTCTCAGTCTCGAAAGCGCGACTTAGGATATATATTAGATTTATATATAGCACTATTCTAACATAGGTATTTTGACACAAAATCGGACTTCACTTGGCGAACTTCTTAATATATGGCAACCTAGTTTCCTTAGGAAAAAAAGTCACCATCGTTCCTTTTTTCCAATAATATTCTTATATTATATTTTTAATTATAACTTATTATTTTAAGTAATTTTTTTTTTCGAATTTCATTTTAATTGTTTAAGTTGCACTCTTTTCTTTTTTTTTCGAATAACTGTTTTAAAAATTTCTATTTACCTATTCGAACTGCGTAAATAAGGTGCAGCGTATTTATTATTTTTTTCAAATAGTTTATATATATTTTTCGTCATAGCTATTATTTTAGGTCATTTTAAAATTTTTATACTTTATTTTAATTGTTTGTGTTGCATTGTCTCTTCAGATAATTGTTTTAAAATTTTCTATTTATTCTTCGAACTGAGCATTTGAATATATTTATTAATATCAATTTTCCAGAATTTGATTTTATTTATTTGAACTGCGTTTTTTTCGGAAGAATACTTTGTAACCCAGACTACGATGCGTTTGAAAACTGCATACTATATTAAAAGAGAAAATACAGTAAAGCACTGTTAACACACCTTTCAATGTTCCGTTCAGAAAAGGTATGTGAATGGGAAAGATATATAACCGACGTTTTAACTTAGGATGCCTTGCATCCACTGCTTTAACAGTTTTATCATTGTGCCCAT